AGCTACTTTTTTTTATGATTTGTATAATAGGCTTGGTATTATGGAAAAAAATGTGATATATAAAATAGCTAAAGCAAAAGATAAAATATTGGAAACTTTGATTAAGTAAGAAGTAATAGAAATGAAGAAAATAGGATCTTAATTAATAACAAAATCACCAAGAAAATATAGAAATTCTACATTGAGAAATTATTAAATGAGTGTTTTAATGAAGAAATTAGTTTAAAAGAGTATAATGAGTAAGAAATGTGATAAACGAGAGATACTGAAATACTTAGCTTAAAAAATCTTTTTCATGAAATTTTAAAGGCTAAGATTGTCAAATGAATCAAGAAGAAGCACTTTAGTGTAAATATTTAAGAAAAAAAGACTTTCAAAATTATGCTAAGTATAAATGAATCAAACTTACCAGTCATACAATAAAACTATGGGAGAGAGTAATGGAATATATATTTAGAAAAATAATGTTAATTTTAAATAAACATGATAAGAAAATCTAATATGAAAGATATCTTTTTAGACAATTAAAATGTACAAAAGCAAAGAAAAGATTTCAATATAGTTTTTATTAATCTTGAGAAAGCATATTATCTAAGGGTGTTGGAATTGATTAAATGTACAATACGATAGAAAGTTTTGTGTCAAAGGTATATAGAAGTTATTAAGAAAATGTATGCAGAACATTGGCTAGTATTCGAAGTACTGAGAAGAGATCAAAGAGTTTTCAGTTAAAATAAGATTAGAACAATAATCAATATTAACTCTATAGCTTTTGTATTGGTTATGAAAATGCTTATAAAGAATATTCAAAATCAAGTGCCTTGTTACATGGTTTTTATAAATGCATAGTTCTAGTAGGTGAAACACCAATTGAAATAAATGAACTATTAGAACAATGGAAATTTTATTTTGAAGAAATAGAGTTTAGAATTAGTAAAATAAGGACTGTTAAAATGATATGTCATTTTAGTAGGAGTGATATTATTAATTATCAATCAATATTACTAGAGGATAAATTGATATATAAGTGTGATATATTGAAGTATCTTAGATTTTTTTTTATATAAAAGAATCCAGATGCTGGTGAGTATATGATCTCTAGAGTTAAGGTTGATGATAAAAAAGGAGAATTGTCTCTAAATTGTTATGTAATAAGAGAATATCACCGAAATTTAAAGGTTAAATTAAAAAAACTCTAATTAGGTCGATGATGTTGTAGATATCTAAGTGTTGGGCAACAAAATCTTGTTAAAATCTAAGTTGAGTGGGGAGAAAAATGACAAAATTAGGGTGGATTTGTTGAAAAACTAGGAAACAAAAAAGAAATTAAGAAATGGCTGGAATGGCAACTGTTGGATATATGAAAGTTAAAATTTGATCTAGGCAATTTGGACATGTACAATAAAAGGTAGAAAATGTATCATTGGTTTTAAATGATTAAGAAGGATAAAGGGTAGAACTAAGATAACATAGATAGAAGTTGTTCATAAAGATTTAAGAAGACTAGTTTAACACCTCAAATAGCACTTCTCATTACGTAAATGAGGATACAATTTGTTTTTAAAAATTGGTCAAGTCTAATGATGATGATGATTGAATAGAGAAAAGGGAGAAATGGCTTGGATAAAAGAATTTAATGAACATGTGTTCAAGAAATACAATCAAGCTTTAGAATGAAGATTGAATCCGAGAGATGTTCTTATATATTAAATTGAAGAGTGTTTTGAATGGATAATTAAATTAATGATGCAAGATAGGAATGTTCAAGTGATAATGACTGCAAGTTGAAGCAAGAGTTTGATCAGAGATTTTCTTTGAGACCACATCAAGAGCAATTCATTGGTTTCAATTGTTATTCAGAAAAAAAAGGGAGATGGGAAGAAAATGGGAATTCTATGTAATGGTGATGGACACTATAAGAAAGAAAGAGAGGATGTAGAATGATGATTAATTAACTTTGTTATTCTCTTTGTGCATGTACTTCTCTGATTTTGTATGATTTTTAGGACTTCAAGTAAAACTGCTGTTGCCAAGCCCCAAATCTTGGATGAGAACAGTAGAGTGTTGTCATAGGTAGTTGAAAACTAATGTAAAACTTATCGAATAATCATGACATGAATAATCTAATACATTATATTAATACTAGGGAGTTCTTTGGAAGCGACGCACTGTATGGCCTGAATTCAGTGACAAGTGTGCAATGGCCGCTGCACCGACGCTCGGTTGTAATGTTAAATAGGCAAGAGTTCTCATATCATGGACGAATGTATGCAAAGAAGCTAGTCCATGAAACTAAAATTAGGATAAAAACTTGGAATATAGGTTCCCTTACAGGCAAATTAATGAAATTAATAGATATTATGATTCATAGGAAGATAAATATTCTATGCATTTTGGAAATTAAATTAGTTAGATATAAGGCTAAGGAAATTGATAGTTCATGATTTAAACTATACTATTTTGATAGGAGTCATACTAAAAATTGGTGTATGTGTGATTATGGATAAGTGTTTGAAGGATAATATCATAAAAATTAATAGAATTAGAAATTGAATTATAGCTTTAAAGATTATTGTTGATGCTAAGATTATTAATATTATAAGTGTTTATACACCTCATGTAGGTCAAGATATGTGTTCAAAATTAAATTTTTGAATGAATTAAAAGTATTGATACAAAAGATAGCTCTTGAAGAAAGAGTTTTCCTTAGAGGAGATTTAAATGGACATGTTAGTAGAGATATGGATGATTTTAAAAATATTCATGGTGGCTATGATTTTGGAGCGTCTAATTAAGGTGGTAAGATCTTGTTAGATTTTTCTTTAGCTTATGATTTTGTAATTGCTAATACATTATTTAATAAAAGAGATAAGCATCTCATCACTTATAAGAAGGAATATAGCAAAACTTAGATTGATTATTTTCTTATAAGAAAAATAGATCCTTTAGATTGCAAAGATTGTAAAGTTATTTTGAGTGGAATTTTATGTACCCAACATCGCTTATTAGTTTTGGACAAAAAATAAAAAATATGTAAATCATTGTTATAGGATTAGAAGGGGGCATTTAAAGAATATTGATAAAATTTTTTTGAAAGTAAGATTTTAAATCTTAAGATTTTTTCTGTGCATAAGGAAGCTAATGTTATGTGAGAAAAAGTAATTAGTGATATTAAAAATTTTGCAAAAGATGTGCATGGAATATTAAAGAAAAAAGCTCCTAATAATTAAAATAGTTGGTGGTGGGATCAAAATGTTCAAAAAAAGATTTCTTCTAAAAATTCTAATAACTTAGAAAGATATAAAGAGGTTCGTAAGGAGTCTAAAAAAGCGATATGTGATTCAAAATTTTTAACTTTTAATTATTTTTATTAGAAGAGGATATTCAACAAAGGTGGATGAGATATTTTGCTAAACTTTTTAATGAAGATTGTGAGAATGTGATTGACTTTTGTGACCTTAGCATCCCAAGTGAAAATAAATATTTTTATTTTTATCGACGTATTAAAAAAATCAAAGTTAAAGAGGCTTTAAAGAAAATGAAATGTGGAAAAGCTGATGTATCTAATGATATTCCAACAGAGGTCTGAAAATGCTTAGGAGATGAAGGAATTCTTGGCTTACTAATTTTTTAATATTATTTTGAAAACTAAAAAGATGTCAGATGAGTGGAGAATGTGTGTTGATGTTGTTGTTGTTCAGGACTTCAGGTATGATATAGTTTATGGTTTTGTGGCTCCTATGATTTATGTTAATTTGCTTCATTATTTCCTAAAACATTGATTTAAAGTATTGTCTCATTTATTTATGTAATGTAATCATCTGCTGTCAATGTAATTATGTAGCATGTCCCCGTGAGGACTAGTGAAGATACTTCAATGCCTGCTTTGTTAGTTGTTTAGCCTACTTCATAGCTGCTAAGTGATGGCAGGATAATTTTCTCATAGACATGATCGGCCTTCATGGATTATCCTCTTCAGGTATTGATAAAGAACCTCCAAGACTGCCTAGGATGTCTGCATTTTTGTCCTTTTCCCTGGAAAGATATCATTCAAAGCTGCAGGCTTTCTTATTTTATGCATAGAAAAGTGTTCTTTGATGTAGTTTATCGATAGTAAAATAAGTATTTTACACATAGCATATGCATATAGGATATTAAAGTCATGAGTGTATAGAAAAAAGTTGATCTGCTCAGACCTTTGCGCTTTAATAAAAAAGGAAAAAACGGGTATTGTATTCCTCAATGCACTTTGAAAACAATGCATGACCCTCTGCCTAAAGCAATCGTTTGTTGTATGAAACATAAAATTAACGTCTCTGTCTACCATTGAATCCATAGACCAAACACATCTTAAATAAGCTTCAAGCATGTGCAGTGATACTCAAAGAATCCAAACTTGATGGGCTTCCGTTTTTCAACCTCACAAACAAAAAGCACGCAACATATATCAATAAAAAGTGCGCTTTTTCTACATTTCATGCCCAGTGCCAATCGTAAATGGCACTGCGTATTGTTTAGTTAAGTTTGCTTTCAATATAAAGGCTAAACACAAATAAAGATAGAAAAAAAGAAACCTTAACACATGACTTCTGCCACAAAGTTTATTTTATTGCAAATTGTACATAGGGAGATTACATGCATATCAAAAAATTATTATATATTAACATACCTAATAACTAAATATGTATATTATTTATATGACATGATAATGTATAAATCATATCAAAATTAACATCTTTTTAACTCCATTTGTCACATTTTTACCTAAATATTAAAATTCATAATAAAATCTTAGAACGTATTTTTTGTATTTGGCAAATTCCTAATGCTCTTATGATGGCGTGTGCAAATACATCGATTTGATAGTTCAATAGTGTTAATTTTATAAGAAAATAAATTTATGAATGTTAGGCAACTCCGCGAAAAATATATACTCACGGAATTATAGTCAAACGATCCTAAACCCTGAAATTGATAATAAGGCAGGCGGATGTACGCACCTGATTGACCATCCTATGCTTCAGGATCGTGCTTTTTGCGAGAACTTTCATTGCAACGGCCTCTCCAGTCTCGGTGTTTCTTGCAAACTTAACCTTAGCGAAAGTACCCTCTCCAATAGTTCTCCCGACCTCATATTTGCCAACTTTCCTCGTAACCATTGCTGCGATTATGTTTTTTTAGTTCATTAGCATCAGTAGAAGTCCATTTGCCTAAAATTCAAGCCTTTCTTGAGGAAACGATAACGGAGTTGACCGAGTAAGAAACGTCGAATTGAAGGAAATTATTACGGGATGAACGAAAGGAAAGCAGGCAATCTGTCGAAATGAAAGAAGACGTGACACTTGGAGCTCCTCCCTCGTCGGTCGGGGCTGAGTAACAAAGAGACTGGGAAAAAGCCGACGACGAACTCGATGGGTTGATTTAACGAATCATAATCCTATTTAGAGCGCAGTAACAGCCGAATCGAAAAAAATATCCTTGCCAATAAAAACTTAATGGTCAAAATGATATACTCATTAAAAAGTTAAAATATAAATTCAATAAAAAATGTTACTTGAAAGAATATTCACTATTGTATAATCAAGCAACTCATTTTGACTTATTGGTTGTGAGTTTTGACTATCAATCAAGAAATCTTGAGTATGATAATTGGGCACTGCCTAATTATCTCTTAAGTGTAGCTTATCCTATACTAGATAATTTTTATACACTATATTCTACAATCGAGTAAATGATACAAATGAATTAGAAAAATAAATATGATCATGTACTCGCCAAGGGCCAGATTAGAATCTCAAATACCCTGTATTCAATCAACTACAAATACAAATGAAAAAAGAGGTACCTAAGACGTGGAGTGGAGATGAATTTAATTTTATTCTCTCTCTCTCTCGCCCCCCCCCCCCCCCCCCCCCCCCCCCCCCCCCCCCCCCCCCCAACCTAAAAAAAAAAAAAAAATTCAATTCGAAGTGTTTTTTTAGTCATCTTTATGTTATTCATAATGTCCATGTATTAATGAAAGTTTAATAACTTTTCTAATGATGTCAAATAAAAATGAGTTTCATTTTTCTCTAAATGTGTCAAGTGTAGAGTCCTTTTAGGAATTTGACGAAATAAGATGTGTAAGGAGAAGTGAGTAAAATTTGACTTAAGAATCTTCTCAAAATCAATGTGTTTGGGATTAAGGAAACTTATCTCCTCCCTTATGCTAACTTATGGAAGGCACCTCTTCCTTTAGAACTTGTCGCTTTCTAATGAGTCTAAGGAACATGTATGAAGAATCTAGTGAATGATGACTAAAATTTGGCTCTTCATAGGTAAATCCAAGCTTGAGATAGCTAATGTGATGTCACATAATCTAATTTGAAAGAACTATTTTTTATCTTTAAAAAAATGAAAACCAAAGCTATCTAATAAAATCTATCAGTATAAATAATAATAAATTTTATAATTCAAAACATAAATGTACATTTGTATTCATTTTCCAAAAAAACGCATATACTGCTCAGGATATATACAATCATATCACAACTACTCTAGCCCGAGTACAAAAGAATTGCTAAAATAAAAACAATATGAACCTAAAAGAATGCTGATCTGTCTCACACTCATATTTTCCTCTCTTATTTCCCTAAACTCTCTCTATTAGCCTATTTGAGGGAAAATGAAAAAAAACCTTTTAATAAAAACTAATGGAATAAGATATTTATAATAAAAATGATATAATTATATAATTTATTTTGTTTTTTAGTATAAAATTCATATAAATCATTTTGGGGTTTCAAAATTATAGCAAAATATTCATAAAATAGTTCATTTTATTTAAAAATTTTGGGTGAAATCTTCTTGCGGACTAAATACCTAACAGTCCCAAAATCCCCACTAGTACCAATTTGTGTCAATTTTTTAAGGATATGCACCAGTGCTTGAAAATTATGTAAATTTTTTGTGTAATTAAAATATTATAATATATATGCTATGGTGAAAACGGTTTGTGATTTAAACACATAATAACTCTGAAAAAAATTATTTGACTGGGTCAACATATAGGCTATAACAATCTACCCACCCTAAAGAATCACCTTAAAGAGCATGACGAAATTTAGCCAAATACTTAAAGGAATCTGATTAATACCAGCAACTCTTAAGCACAACGCAACAACAAACCACTAAAAAACAACAGACCAAAACTATCAACCTCCAGAACTTCACAAATTACAAGACACCCAACAACACCTAACAGAAAGCACCCACCAAGAAGAAACACAAACAACCCTCAAATCGAAAAAAAACCCCATAAAACAACCAAACACTCAACCAACAGCACTATGATCCGAGCACCAAACCGAACAACCAAAACAACCAAAGACAAACAAAGTAGCCCACATACCCCAATAACTAAAGAGAAGAGAACTAAAAGGATTCCAATAAAAATTAAAACCACCAAAACAACACCTCCTAACAACAAAAAAATATTTCAAACTACTATTTCCTCAAGTAAGGTAAACCAGATTTATCTAGCCTAATAAAATCTCTCAACAGACGAAAAATATCATAATTAGAAAAAATAGATAAAGAATAAAATTCAGCAGTTTATAGTTTAGGGTTTAGGGTTTAGGGTTTAGGGTTGGGGTTTAGGGTTTGGGGTTTGGGGTTTGGGGTTTGGGGTTTGGGGTTTGGGGTTTGGGGTTTGGGGTTTGGGGTTTGGGGTTTGGGGTTTGGGGTTTGGGGTTTGGGGTTTGGGGTTTGGGGTTTGGGGTTTGGGGTTTGGGGTTTGGGGTTTGGGGTTTGGGGTTTGGGGTTTGGGGTTTGGGGTTTGGGGTTTGGGGTTTGGGGTTTGGGGTTTAGGGTTTAGGGTTTAGGGTTTAGAGTTTAGGGTTTAGGGTTTAGGGTTTAGGGTTTAGGGTTTAGGGTTTAGGGTTTAGGGTTTAGGGTTTAGGGTTTAGGGTTTAGGGTTTAGGGTTTAGGGTTTAGGGTTTAGGGTTTAGGGTTTAGGGTTTAGGGTTTAGGGTTTAGGGTTTAGGGTTTAGGGTTTAGGGTTAGGGTTTAGGGTTTAGGGTTTAGGGTTTAGGGTTTAAGGGTTAAGGGTTAAAGGTTAAGGGTTAAAACCCACTATAAGGGCTTACATGTTTATTTAAAAATGCGATTACAAAGAGTCCTTAAAGAGACTAAAGGCTCAACTAAAAGAAAAGAAAATACATAAAGG